ATGGGCTACCGTGTGTAGCCAGCAGCCAGCATGAGCGGCCAGCAGCCGCAGTGAGCGGCCGTCCAGAAGCCGGCGACTGATCTGCCTCACTCGGGAAGAGCGCAACGATGGTGCCAAGTTGGGCCAGTGAAGCAACATCCTCCACAACTAGATTAAAGAACAAAACGACAGCAACTTGTCTACCTGTCTGTTCCCTTTCCCCTGTTCCCCTTTCCCCAATTCCCCAATAAAATCTTTAAAAATAAAAAGCAAGTCATTTGCTTGACTTTTCTGACAACACAGTTCTAAGTTCTCAAACTATCTTTGAGAGGATGTTTGCTGAATCCTTTCTCCTCTTGTACCCTAGACAAAAATAAGGCTTTTTGTTCTTGTCCTGAAAATCCCACCCTTTTCACTCATGTCATGTTATTTCACAAGGGGCAAAAAAGACTAAAATGCCTAACTGCCTCAGGCATCCTGCTGCCAGGTTAATGTGAGGACTGTTCCTTGATATTCTCTGCCTTGCCCAATTCTCTGGACCTCCCCAAAACATTCCAGCTCACTCTTCTCATGCTAACCCTCCCAATTTAAATTACTTTTTCTTTTTTAAGTTTATTGGGGTGACAATGGTTAGTAAAGTTACATAGCTTTCAAGGGTACAATTCTGTAATACATCATCTATATATCACATTGTGTGCTCACCACACAGAGTCAGTTCTCCTTCCATCACCATGTATTTGACTCCCTTCACCCTCTTCTTATCACCCTCCTCCCCCCTTACCCTCTGGTACCCACTAAACTATTGTCTACATCTATGAGTTTTTGTTTCTTTGTTTGTCTTGTCCTTTGTTGCTTTCAGTTTTATGTCCCACATATCAGTGAAGTCATATGGTTCTCGACTTTTTCTGATTTATTTTGCTTAGCATAATAATCTCAAGATCCATCTATGTTGCAAATGGCACTATTTCATCTTTTCTTATGGCAGAATAGAAGTTTATGATCATTCTGGGGTTTTTTCCCCTTAAGTATAAGTCCTGTATAATAGAAATATGTTTACACTGGGGTATTTAGGGGACAAGTGTCTTGAGGTCTGTAACTTACTTTCATATGGTTCGATAGCAACATTGCTGTAGATACAGAGAGTAAGAGGAAGTGGAGGAGGAAGAGAAGCAAACACAGCAAAATGTTAGCAATGGTTGCGTCTAGGTATTGTGTGCATATTGAACTAGTCTTCAAACGTGTGTCTGAAAATTTCAAACTAAAAAGTTCTGAAAAAAATTTCTCTCATGTTAACCTCCAATAATTCCACTAAACGAAAACTTTCACTGAGGTTCCCTGTAGTCCTCCCTAAAGCTCCTGTCTGAGAAATGACTAAAATAACGACTTCAAGTACCTTTCCTGTGTTACAGAAGCTCGGTGTGATGGGGTTGTTGGGATCAGCACATTCTCCTATTTTAGAAATGCTCAAACCTAGAGATTGGCTTAATGGAAATACTTTAAGGCCAGCATCTGGAACACAGGACATTTAAAGTTTAATGTAGACATGAACTCATCTTTTATTTAGTCTTTCTTGAATGGTCTTAAAGTTGAATTTTAGGTTATCATATTTATCTCTCAAGTTAAACTATAAGGGAAAAGATAGGCCTTACTATCTCTGTTTCCACAAAACACCAGCATATAGTAAAAACAAATTAAACTTTAAAATTAAACAGAAAGCAAACACACTATAATGAAATATTTAAATTAAGATTTATAACATTTTGAGCTTAATATAAAAATCGCTTATAAAATTCATGTGCCTGAAGCTCAGATTATTATGACATTGTCAAGGTGACTTCATCATTTGGAGATTATATAATAAGGATAATCACTCTTATTGATAATCATGTCACATTCACAGTTCAGTTGGATTAACCTGAGTGCTAGAGATACAAGGGTCAAAGATGAAGGAGTTACAGTTCCTACCTTTCAGAAGTCCATATTCTAGCAGGAGAGCTAAGCAATACGTAAGCATCATGCTACAGTGCAAGAAATTTAAAATAAGGAAGGAAGTGAGGGTGGTAAGGGAGCCGCTGATTTTGACAAGAAGGTGGCATCAGAGGAGAGGACAGGAAGGAAGAAAAATTTGAATTAGGCCCTAAAAAGAGAATAGCATTTCTCCAAATAGAGACAAGCAGAGCATTTCGGTCAAAAACAATGAGTATGAAGAAAGGCCTGGCAACAAAGTACAACTGACCCCTGAACAATATGGGTTTGAACTGAACCCTTGAACTGAATGGGTCCACTTATATGGGGATTTTTTTCAGTAAATATTTTGGAAATTTGTGACAATTTGAAAAAACTTGCAGATAAACCTTGTGATTTTCTTAACATTTTATTTTCTCTAGTTTAATTATTGTAAGAATACAATATATAATACATATATGTGTTATGTATTAATTGACTGTTATTGATAAGTCTCTGATCAACAGTAGGCTATTAGCAGTTAAGTTTGGGGGAGTCAAAAGTCATGCATAGATTTTCAACTACTGGGGGAGGTCAGCAGCCCAACCCCTGCATTGTCCAAGGGTCAGCTATACATTTAAAGCCCAGCGCAAAGGACATTTCCAGTGTAACTGAAAAACAGGGCAGGAGATAAGCTGATCTCACAAGGATGCTGAAAAACAGAGTAACATACAAAACAACATGTGTCACATGGTGGTCTGTGCTTATTATCTAGATAAAAATAAAATGATATACAAGGGAAGTCATAAGAGCACTGAGTCACCTCACAGAACCCAAGGACAGGAATGTCCAGGGCTGCCACAGCGCCCTGGGAATGAAGCTGAGCCTCAGGAATAAATGAATGTGGGTTTCGCTCAGCGTCATAAAGATTATTACGCTAAATGAAGTAAGTCCGACAAAAAGTCGAGAACCATATGACTTCACTCATGTGTAGCAGAGGTGGCCGGTTGGCTCAGGTGGTTAGAGCACAGGCTCACAGCACCAAGGTTGCCGGTTCGATCCCCACATGGGCCAGTGAGCTGTGCCCTCCACAACTAGATTGAAAACAACGACTTGACTTGGAGCTGATGGGTCCTGGAAAAACAAACTGTTCCTCAATAAAGTTTTTAAAAAAAATTTAAAAAATTTTTAATTGGAAGCAACAAAGGAACAAGACAAAGAAACAAAAACTCATACACAGACAACAGTTTGTTTAGTGGTTACCAGAGGGTAAGAGAGAGGGGGTGGTAGATGAGGGTAAAGGGGGTCAAATATATGGTGATGGAAGGAGCACTGACTCTGGGTGGTGAGCACACAATGTGACATATAGAAAAATTAAAAACTGAATGTGGGGAGTCATATCAATGCTCTTTCTATCCAGTTCTCATTTTTGCTCCTTTCAATGTATCAGCTTCTTTCTTCTCTCACTGAAGATTGCTTTCTCCCCATGGCTAGAAATGCGGCTTCTAACCTCTTGTAACACTTACATATTTCAGCTTTAGCCACCAAGAGAAAGAACGGCCTTTTTTGTCTCCAGTTTAAAAATCCTGGGAAGGGACTCATTGGCTGGGGCTTGTTTGGACTTTCTCCCCTCAAAAATAGATTACTGTCTTGGGTCAGGATCATAATCATGTAAGAACACAGCAGTTCCATCAGGAACTGTGTGGATGGTGTAGGGAGAAGGCTGGGTCTAGAGTAATCAGGAGAGGGCAGCGTCCCACAGACATCCACACCCTTTCCCCTCCTCTTCTTCCATTTCGTCTTAGAGCAGCTGCCCTGGAGTTAAAGCCCTTATCACTTTTCTCGCCTCATCTATAACTATTCAGTTACTCTTCAGTTCCTAAATTAGTCTCTTTACTGTAAAATCTTTACAGATTTTAATGTTTTATTACAATATTTTTTCATACCATTTTCACACTTTTCCCTTTAACTAATATGAAATGTTTTCTTTCTTTTCGATAAGTTGGTTAGTGATTATTAGAGCATACCAGTAAGAATTTCCTTATCATTTCTGAGTCTGGCATGCTGGTTTCGTCAGTAATAACACGCTAGTATTTAGGCCAAAGTCAGACATTTTATAACTATAAATGCCAGTCAACCTGCCCCTGTGTCATGACTGAATATTATTGTAGGTACTTATGGGCCCTTCTAAAAAATATTACTGGTCATATCGCTGTCTCATGGAAAACCATCACCTCCACTAGAAAAACCACTGAAAGATTATGGTGTAATTAGAACAACATGGCCAAACGTGTTTGCTTGTTACTGTGTGTTTCCTGAGGAAAGGGAAGTTAGCAAATGTTTTCTCCTTCTCGACAAGGCAATTGTGTTCCTATACAAGGCAGCCTTAAGCTGCTGAGGGGACAGAGGAAGTGGCATAAGGGACACAGACGTTTCTGAACATATAAACAACACAAGACGTTTCCCTTGTAAAATTGGGACTTTAATTTTGAATAGAGAACGGGACAGAATCAAGTGAAAGAAGCCCTGGGCTTCCCATGTCACCAAGGAAAAGCACAAAACCTGTCTCCTGCCTTTTCCACAGTCCTTTATGGGAGCTAGTTCACCTTGCCATCAGTGGAAGCAAAGGGAAATGTTTCTGTGCTGCATCCTTAACGTATTCATGTCAGTGGTCCTGGCTCGATGGAATTTAGTTAGGTTGACAATCAAACCAAACTGATAGCATAATGGTCACACCTCAATCTAATGGCTAGCGCTGCTGTAGTGGTGTACACGCCCTGCGTAACCCCCTCCCGCAAATGCAGGCAGAAGCTGTGACTATGACAGCTATCACTCCAGTGATCAGGTCACTGCTCGGTTGGCTTTGAGTTCATCAAAAGGAATATTATCCATGTGGGTCTGGCCTACACAGGTGAGCTCTTTAGAAGGCCTGAGCCATTCCTGCAAGAGATTCATAGCGGGAGAAGGCCTATGGAGGGGGCCACACAGCAAGTGACTACGGGCAATATTTAGGAGCTGAAAGCAATGTCCAGCCGATGGCCAGCAAGCAAATGGGAGCCTCAGTCCTACAGCTCAAGAAAATGGAGTTCTCCAACAGCCACATGCGCTCAGAAGAGGGCGCCGAGCTCTAGAAAGGCGTGCAGCCTTGATTTCAGCCTGTGAGACCTGGGGCAAAGCAAACTCAGCTCTGCTCTGTCTGGATTCCTGACCTACAGTAACCATGCGATAATAAGTAGGTATCATTTAAGCCACTAAGTTGGTGGTAATTTGTTACACAGCAATAGAAACTGATACACGTGTATATATGTATGCAGTCACGTGCTGCATAACAACATTTCAGTCAACAGTGAACTGCAGATACGAAGGTGGTCCCATAAAATCATAATGGAGCTGGAAAATTCCTATCGCCTAGTGACAGCATAACATCATAGCCATCATAAGCCATAGCACAAGTTACTTATGCGTTTGTGGTGATGCTGTGTAAACAAACCTACTGCACTGTACCATACACTACATAATGCTGGATAATGATAATAAATGACTATTACTGGTTTATATATTTATTATACTATGATTTTTATTATTTTATTTTATTTTTTTAAAGATTTTTATTGGGGAATTGGGGGATGGGAACAGCACTGGGGAATTGGGGGAAGGGGAACAGATAAGTTGCTGTCCTTTTTTGTTCTTCAGTCTACTTGTGGAGGACGTTGCTTCACTGGCCCAACTTGGCACCATCATTGCGCTCTTGCCGAGTGAGGCAAATCAGTCGCCGGCTTCTGGACGGCCACTCACCACGGCTCCTGGCCACTCACGCTGTCTGCTGGCTACACACAGTAGCCCATGGCAACCCACTGCCACAGGGGCTGCAGCCTACGCTGTCGCCAGCGACTCATGGCAGCCCAGCTCCAGGTTGAGCTGTTGTTCAGCATCTTAGCTGTAGAGGGCAGTGTCACTGGCCTTCATATGTGGGATCCGAACCGGGGCCCTCTGGTCTCCCAAGCCAGCTCTTAACCATCGCGCCACTCGGCCGGCCCTGCTTTTATTATTTTAGACAGTAGTCTTTCTACTTAAAAAAAGTTTGCTGTAAAATAGTATGCCGTGTTACACCGGCAGCAGCCTCATACATCTTCTGTCTTACCATGTCTCTTGATTGTATCATTTTCTCTTGTGCCTGATGTAATCTCATGTTGTTTTATAAGTAACATGTACAGGCCTGTAGCCCAGGAGCAACAGGCTGTACTATATATAACAAGGTGTGCAGCGGGCTGTACTGTCTAGGTTTGTGTATGTACACACCATGATGTTCACACAACGATGAAATTGCCTAATGACGCATTTCTCACAACATATCCCTATGGTTAAGTGGAGCATGGCTCTATTGAGAATACATTACTATATTAACAAGAATTTGGAATTTAAAAGATAACTGTTTCAACCTGGCAAACAGACCATGTTTCTTATAAGCAAACTAATAAAAATGTTTGTAAATTTTAGGGTACTAACATAAACTGGCTTAATGATTTTAAATTACTTGGCAATATTTTAGACATTACTCTCTAGAATTTGACCATACTTCCTTCAAAAATCTAAGGTACATAAGGCATACTTAGTGATATTACCTTAATGTCACGAACTTCATATGCTATCCTGTGATCAGTGACCCTGTCCTGGGTGAAATTATATGTCCGGATTCTCTCTGACTGGGCTCTTGTTCCCACCTGTGTCATAACAAAAAGCAATTTATATTTTTAACTTTATCATGACCTTCATTACAACAGAAAAAGTACATGTAAATTTCCTAAAGTCATATATACAAAGTGACAAAGAACAAGAATGGGCAGAACTTTATGTTTAAAGACTACAAGTTTTAAAGCTTAGTTATGGAACAAGAATTCATGTTTCTTTGCTACTTCAAACTCCAAATATATAAAACCAAATTATCTTTCCACCCCAATCGGTTCTTCCTCTTAGTCTCTATGAATGACACCACAATGTTCCCTTTGATCCAAGTAGAAAACTCTGACATCCGGCAATTTAACAAACAGTTCATGGGAGCTTACTATCCGCCAGGCTTTGGTGTAGACACTGAAACCACCTTCAATTCACCCAGTTCTCTAACTGCCCACTTCCAATGGGTTTAAGAGTCCATTATTGTATCCTATCCTTTCCATTTCTATCTATCACTCAGGGCTCATTACTTACCTACCTTTCTGTAAAACCTCCTGATTAATCTTCCATTTCTCTATTTATATTGTGTTGCCCTGCTTAGTGTTCTTTAAGCACAGTTTCTTCTTTGGTTCCTGATCTACTAAGCCGATACAACTCAACTCTCAGCATTCAAGGCGCTTCATACTGTGGCCAACTTTCCCAGTGCTATTTCGGGAAATGATATGAACTTCTATACTGCCACTTATTATACCATATCATCAGCATGTGTGTCTGTGAACTCTGCTAAAACATCATCTCCAGACATGCCTTCCCTAACATTCTCCTCCCATCTCTGCCTGCCCTGGTCCCACAGCTGAAATATGTTACCTTCCTCCTTTGGAGCTCCATGCACTTGGAATCCTTTTCACAGCACACCCCAGTTTACCTTAGGCTGTGATTGTGTGTATTCTTCTTAGTCTGCTCATCTCCCCTATCTCCCCAGCATATGATACACACACCCCTCTCCCACTCTCTTCCACTTTTTTAAGACTAAAAAAAGACATTTCTGTAACTTATTTTCTATAGCAAACAGCATGAAACTAAACTCCTAAATCTGGATGATCATCAGGAGAGTTTTTTTACAATTAAAGATTCCAAAGCCCTAGCTCAGATACACTGAATCCGGAATTATGGATTTTTGAAACATTCCCCAGGCCACTCCTTCTGTAATCAGCCAGGTTTGGAAAGACTGTGCCAAAGCACCATGTCAATGCCGGGACCCCACCCAGACTGGGTGCATGAGTCTCTGGGGGTCAGGCCTAGGCATCTACAAAGCTCTGCAGGGTGTGCAACCTGGCATAATGCCTTCCACATAAAAGCTACTGTATCTGCTAGCCGAAGAAAAACTTCTGCGCATTAGAAATACCTACTAAGAAGTTTCACACAGATGGACAAGTTAATTGGGAAGCATGGAGGTCTTTTCTGGCCTCTCAAACCAGACTACCAAAGAACAGACACAAATATAATTTATGTAAGGCCAATCTCGAAAACAAAATAAATTTTTATTTTAAAAATTACTGTGTGAAACATCTGGTGCCACAATGTCAAATGGCAAATTGTTTTTTTTTTTAATTGGTTATCTGTGTTTTTCTGGACCCACCAGCTCCAAGTCCAGTAGTTGTTTCAATCTAGTTGTGGAGGGCGCAGCTCAGTGGCCCATGTGGGCATCGAACCAGCAACCTTGGTGTTATGTACACTGCGCTCTAACCAACTGAGCTAACCGGCCACCCCCAGGCAATGTATTTTATTAAATCAAATGTGGTGGGTTCATAGTATTCATTCATTACTTATTTGCCAAGAAGTAACGGTTTGTAACCGAGCTTCCTACGTGCAGATGGATACACTGGTGCTGTGTCACAATCTGGGATTATCACACTCAGAGGACGAAGATGTAACCTGTCACTGTTACTTACTCCTTCAAGTTAGAATGTGGGTACGGGAAACTAGACGGGCAAAAGTGTGAAAAGACTGGGACATCTAGGCAAAAAGAATAATGCTTGGTTTTATGCAATTGATGATCCTATAAAAGCCACAAAATCTTCCAAATTTACTGTGGCATGCTGATCTTCAAATAACACAAAAGCACAGGTATTTCTGGGTTCCACTTTCTCTTCTAGCCTCTCTCAAAGACAAACGATTCTTCTTAGACTTTAAAATCATACAACACTTTGTTTCTAAAACGATATTTATTCGTTTTGCTTAGAACTTATCTAGTTATATATCTGATAAGTAATACTGTACATGTACATAGCACAAAATACAAAAAGCACAAAAGGGTATATAATGAACATGAACTCTTGTACTTCTTTGTCCCCAGAATCCATCAGTAGCAATCAATGTTGCCAGTTTTTTGCAGTGCCATTTATTTTTTATCTCATATAGTTATAATAAAAACATAGGGTTTTAAACTTAAAATAATCTTTTATACCAATTTCCTCTCAAGACAGTTATAATATAAGCACTGGAGAGAAACAACTGGGAAATATATAATTTTTAGTTCATGCATATGTCACCTACTCATTTGCAAGGTGGCATGTCCAATCTTAGGCACAATCCTGCAGTCTAAATGCATTAAAAGTTACTGCTAGGGCCGGCCGAGTGGCTCAGTTGGTTAAAAGCTCACTCAAGAGTGCGAGCTCTGAGCAACAGCAGTTCGAGTACCGGCCTGAGCTGAGCTGCCGCTGAGCTGCCAACAGATGGCAGGATGGCTCAGCTGGTGAGAGCACGTGCTCCTAATAACAAGGTTGCTGGTTCGACTCCAGCCCAGGATGGTGGCTACACCCACCCACAACTAAGATTGAACACTACACCTTGAGCTGAGCTGCCATGAGCTGCCGATGGGCAGCCAAATGGTGAGTGGACTTGGAGCTGAACTGGCTGAGCCCTCCGCAACTAAGATTGAAGGACAACAACTTGGCTGTTCCCCTTCCCCAATTCCCCAACACTGTTCCCCTTTCCCAATTCCCTAATAAAAATCTTATAAAAAACAAAACAAAGAATACTACATTTTCTACATAAAATGATGACTTTTGGTACAGATGTATTAAACTATTACACCAAATAAATCTTACCTGCAGTTTTCTAGCACTCTGTTGTTGACACCTGTCTTTCTCAATAGTCTGCTGGTAGAGTCTAGCTCTCAACACACGCAAAGCTATTTCTTTATTTTTTAACTGTGATCGTTCTTGTTGGCATTCTACTATAAGCCCTGAAAAATAACAGGGATCAGAGGTAAACCATAGCCTTCACAAGCAAAATTAAGATAGAAATGAGGTGTCAATTATATTTCAGTAACACTGGGAAAAAAAGAGAGAACTGAGGAACATTTTCAAGGGGAGAAAGGTTAACCAGGAAAAGATCACAAAGGTTTAAATACATTTTAGATTTAGCCTACTTCAGACACTATACCTGGGTTATGATGGGAATAGTGGTAGATGGCTATTTGGATTCTGGTATCTGAATGAGATATTTCAGATGGGAAGACTGAAAGCAGCAGCATCTGCAGATACATGCACATACTTTCATGCCCAGAGCCCTGCCTCTCCATCCCAGCTCATCCCAATACTTTCACAGCTCAACCAAGAGCAAGCCACTGGCCTCCCCTGTGCAGCGCTACTCAGCTCTCTGTCCTACTCAAGAAGCCAGCCTTTCCCCTTCACATCACAAATGCACACAGAGCTGATGTTTGAAAAATGACTTTCCATATAGAAACCAATGAAAAGAAATGACGCGAACTCTTTCAAAGGAAGCGTGAATGCTTCTCAGATGTCTTGGTTCTGAACCCAGCTAATCACACCTAACTGCACACTTTGGTTGGCCGATTGGATTTGGGAAGGTTTGCAACTTCAGGCTTCTGTTCTGAACTTCGCAGCTCCCACTGTGAAGGTCTGTGTCTGACCCTGCTCCCCGGTACCAAGGTGCAAGCTTGTTTTTCTGAAGCCCAGAAACCCCAAGCCCCAAACCCCTATTAGCTTAGGTGGACTGCACTGGTGCAGTAGTAACTAATTGGCTGGAGATTTTTAAATTCCTATAAAAGTCTACTCTCCAAACTATGTTTTCTCCCTGTCTAAATAAGCTACAAGCTAGACCTGCTGATACTTTTAGCAGGGCGCCTCGGTTTCACCTCTATTAGTGTAAACTTACTCATTCTGCTTTACTGCAGCCACGTGTTTGGGCTGCGACTCCAACTCGCTTGCATCTTCGAGGCATTTGCCTGGCGCTATCTTGAACCTCCTTTCCTCATCTTTTCACCACCCAAAAGAATAATAAAGAGCTCTTGAAGATTTTAAAAAAGAATACATTTTTAAAATCCAGTAAAAGTGCTGGAAAAAAGAACTAAAACCCAAAGACACAGCCAATGTGAGAGAAAAAAGAAGAAGAAAATTAAACAGTAAATCCAAGAGGACTAATATGTGACCAACAAAAATTCTAGGAAGAACCAAGAAAATGATGAGTAAGAAATTTTTGAAGAAAATATTTCAGAAGGGAAGGGCATGAGTTTCCAAATTGAAAGCAATAAATACGTGAACAATGAATGCCAAGAATCTTAAATGTGCCAAGAGGAAATGATTTCCAACAAATGTTCATGATCATGAAGTGTGAGGTTAGAATAAAGCTATTTTCAGATATACACAGTCCCGAAATATTTACGTGCCATGCATCTTTTCTCAGGAAGTATCTTAAAGATGACCTTCACTAAAAAGAGGAACTAAACTAAGAGAGATGTGATGGGATCCAAAAAATAGGAAGCTCTACCCCAAAACAGAAATGAAGGTGATTCCCTAACTGTCGGTGGCCGGCAGGGCAGCTCATTCAGGCTGGGGCAGAATAATGGAGTCTTCTGTCACGTGTCATCACAAAGCATCAGCCCTGTTGAAAGGGGCTAATTTCATTTTATAGAGCTTCTGGTAGATGTGGGAAGACTTAGAGTTAAAGAAAACTACGCAAATGAAAAAACAGTGAGGCCATTGTTAGCCCTAGGAAATGAAATCATAGTATACTACTTGGTTCAGCAGCGAACACTATTTACCTGCATCTGATACAAAAACAGTGACGATTAATTTTGACAAAACATAAATACACTAGGAAGAGGAAAAGAGGATATTATAAGAGAGCTCAAATCGTCATCAACTATATTAGGAAGTCGATATATAATCTTATAATTAATTGATCAGAAGAGCACTATCTACCTATTGTTTAGAAACACTAAGGTAATTACCGGAAAAAACAGCTAAAATAATTTAAAATGGTTGCCTCTTGGTAATGGGAATTTTAGGGTCAAGAAAGGAAAGAGGGGAAAGCAAAAGTTCCAGGGAGTTGCTGTTTTTTGTTATACATGTAGGACTTTACCGATGGACTTTTACAATCATATAAGTGCACTGTAAAATCACATAAATGTACCGTAAAATTTAATTTTTTTAAAAAGAAATTTTTTTAAAAGTTTAAAAACCTGAAAAATGATAGAAATATTTAAAATCACATTAAAAACTACAAAACTATCTCACAGTATACTGAAATGACCAACATTCACAATAGCAGTGTTCATGCAGCAAAGCCTAACGGAGGCAGCAGTCACTCTACAGGTGACAAAAAGTTCACCACAGCAGCATGCTCGGCACGGCTTCCACATGTCTTTAGGCTGCAGTCCCTCTGGCTGCTCACCCCTGCCCAGCACACATGGGCAGCTTCTCTGAATCAGACCACTCACTTCTGTATCCTTCGACAGGTAACTTTTCCAAACAGAAGGGGAATAGGGACATATTGGGGACCTCAGAACCACGACCCAAATGTCACCTTTAAAGGGTTTGTGCCAGGAACCAGATACTAATATAGGACTACTTCCTTTTAGATGTCGAATACCTTTATAAGGTGTGAAAAAAAGTTCCAAGTATGAAAGCAAAGGGACTTGCTTACCAGTGGGGACGTGGACAAGCCTGACAGCACTATCAGTGGTGTTAACATGCTGTCCTCCTGCTCCTTTGGCTCGAAATGTATCTATCCGCAAGTCCTTGGGGTCAACTTTCACGTCTACCTAGAATGGAAAGTGTAACGTAAGTAAATTCTACACTCAACAAATACTTTAACACTAAATTTATTCCAAGATTTTTCAAATAAACTGTACTGCTGTGTGTCATAGGTCTAATTAGACTAACAGGTGAAATAACTTCAACCAGAGAAAGAATGGAACCCTAAACTCCATATTTCAATGGATGCTATTTTTTGACCCTGACTTATGATACTATGAGGTCACTGAGTTCTGCAACCTTTCGAGTTCCATCATTCATCCTCTCACAAAGCTACACTGGATACAAAATATATATGCATGCATGCATATAAAAAGTTGATCCTCATTATTCCCTTATTCTGTATTTGCAAATTTACCTACTTGCTAAAATTTATTCGTTACACAAAATCAATCATTGCAGCACTTTCAGTCATGTCCAGACATGCGCAGAGCAGGAAAGCATTCAAATTGCTCTACACGTGCAGACTCCCAGCTGAGGTCGAACGAGGTGACACTCTACTTTCCTGTTACAATATGGTCAGAGGATGGGAACAGGAAGGGGCAGCGCACTGCAGCGCAGGAAGGGCTGGCTCTGGGCTGGCTGGACAGGGTCTGACTCCCATTCCTGGCACCTATTAGTGAGGCGGCCTCAGGCAAGTCACCCAATACTTTTCGCTTTTGTAAAATAAAATGGGCTGTTGTAAGATTATAATCTGAGTGAGATATATAAATGTGTGTGTGTGTGTGTGTGTGTGTGTGTGTGTATGTATATATTTGCCCTAGGAGAAATGGTTAGTCTCTAAATCAGTGTCAGCTGAGACTTTACAGAACATGTAACTTCTGTGAATAATGAGAATCGGCTGTGAGTGTGTGTGTGTGTGTATGTGTGTGTGTGTGTGTGTGTGTGTGTGTGTGTGTTTAGCGGACTGAATGGAGGCATCAAAAAAAATATGTTCATGGTCTCACCACAGAAACTTTATTTGGAAAAAGGGTCTTTGCACAAGTAATTGAGTTAATATGAGATCATCCTGGACTATTCTGATAGGCCCTAAATCCAATTACAAGTGTCCTTATAAGAGACACCTAGAGGAGAGGGAAGAGGGGAAGATGGGAATTCACAGGCAGAGATTGGAGTTGCACAGCTTCAGGCCAAGGGAACCCTGGAGACACCAGAAGCTGGAAGAGACTAGGAGGATTCTCCACAGATGCTTCAGGAGGACCATGGACCCGCCCACACCTTGATTTTGAACTTCTGGCCTCTAGAACTGTGAGATAAATAAGTTTTTGTTATTTTAAGCCACTAACTTTGTTCTAATTTGGTATAGCAGCCTTAGAAAACTGTGTGTGTGTGTGTGTGTGTGTGTGTGTGTGTAACTATATGTGTACATACATATGTATATACCAGTGATGCCAAAAAATGTACACATTTTAAGAGATGTTATCTATGTATTACTTTTTGATGTTGAATTGAGTTATGGTAGCAATGTGTAGTATAACGTTTGCTCAAAAGACGGGGTTAATCAAATGAATGCTAGCTAGCATCATTCATTATATTACAATTTTAATACAGTTTTTTTCCTTTCTTAAATGGTGTACACATCTTTTTTGCACCCTCTATATATACATATATGTGTGTGAGTGTATTATAGTTATAAAATGTGCTGTTTTTGAGGGGAGAGCTAACATTTTGTTCCACATTTATCATTTATTTGTATGAATGACAGACAACAAGTGTGACTTTTCTCTTTGAAAAGTACATTTACAAGGTCAAGGTTAGAAGCTAATACACAACTTTGTTGTTCTATTGTTTCTATACTGTAAATAAAAAGATTATACAGTGTAAATATTATACAGCTTTTGTTAAAATGTGATAGTTACCTTAAAATTTCAATAAACACTAAAGGGATGAAAAATAATCTCCCATTTCTTGTGGTTACAATATTTTCAGTATTTATATAACAAATATGTAGATATTATATATCATATTCTCTCAAACATTATAAAAACTACCTAATGACTGAGGAATTCTGAACATAGAAAAATGAAGCTCCACTAAATACGTTTAATTCTCAGGTATATGAAGACAACAAGGAGACAGGTGGGAATGGAGTGGAAGAAATAAAGGTGGAAGCAAGACAAAACTCTATGGTTTTGGTTTCTGAACCATGTAAATGCTTACATACACCAAAAATAAAATTAGATAAGAGGACCGAAAAATCACATCCTAAAATTAAATACAAACAGAAACAAATGAACCAAAATATTTACTGTAATGATAACATAACCATTCAGAAAAACATTATTTTAGATGGTCTTTGAACATAGTGCTCAGACTAGGCTATCTTGGTGGGTTATATTCTAAGGACAGAAATCTTAAATCTTAAACATTACTCAGTAGTTTACCGAGTAATTTTGAAAGTATTGTATATAAATACATATATAGTATAATAAAGCAAAAAGTAAACATATTAAAGTGATTAAGAAACAAGATTTTTACTCTAAGTGAAAGAGATATAAATAGAAAATTCAAGAAGGTGAGGGGGAAAAGTTCCCTATAGTGTTAAATTTGAATTGGTAATATTACTATGAACCAGTGATTTAAAATCTTAAGTATTTCCTAGCTCTGTCCATTCAAAAGTCTAGGTTTAAGCACATTTTAAAAATAGTTCCCAGAACTTGATTTCTGGGTCCATTCCTCACTAAAAAGAACCAGGTGTGACCCCAATTCTCCGCAGTAGAGTATAAGGTGAGTCTGGGATATCTAATTAACCAGAAAGCAAGGATACACTTAGAGGCTGATGGGGTCATTTCGAAAGGGCTACACTATAAAGGCTTAATATGGGACAATTTGAACATCAGAAACAATTATTATAACTCACTGAATTTAAAAAACAAATCTGTAAGTTTATAATGAGGTCAATATATGAAACTCAATATATGAGTTTATAATGAGGTAAAATAAAAAAGAAAGTAAGAAGGAAGGAGGAGAAGGTAGTAGGGAGGACAATTCTTTATAGCAAAGAATGCCAGTTAATAAATATAGAAAGGATGGTTGAATTAGAAAGTCACCATCTTGCCACCCCAAACTAAACAACTGATTCAGGCAAAGATGGATGTTAAAAGTAGATGGAAGAAAAGTAGTTGGGAATAGGATGCATGCACTCTAGAAATTACTTAGTAATTGCAAAGGGAAAAATACACTTTTACAGTGAAGATATTTTTGTGGTCACCATCTTAGCTAAATGTTCAAACTAATCCTAAAAGTGGGACAATCTGATATGTGCCTTCTGATACGATTCAACATGAACATGATGATACCTATAAAGTACGCTTGCTCAAAACATGTAACCTTACTAGAATGGAACACTTAGCTATAAATTTCAATATAACACAGGGGATAAAGGAACAAGTTAAAGAGTACCACGAGGAAACAATCAGGTAAATTCAAAATGTGGGACATTCTACAAGACAAATGGTTTAGATTCTTTAAAAAGTCAATGTCATTTTTAAAAAAAACATTGGGAAATTGTTTCAGAAATTAAAAACTAATTACAATGTGTGAAACTCGATGGGATTCTGGCTAAAAAAAAATAGCTATAAAAATACTTTTAAGGGACTGGCCAAGTGGCTCAGTTGGTTAAGAGCATGAGCTCTGAGCAACAGGGTTGCCGGTTCGATTCCCACATGGGCAAGTGAGCTGCGCCTGAGCTGAGCTGCCGTTGAGCTGTCAACAGGTGGTAGGATGGCTCAGCTGGTGAGAGCATGTGCTCCTAACAACAAGGTTGCCAGCTCGACTCCCATATGGGATGGTGGCTATACCCACCAGCAACTAAGATTGAATATGGCACCTTGAGCTGAGTGGCCGTGAGCTGCCAAGGGGCAGCTGGATGGCGACTGGATTTGGAGCTGAGCTAGCTGTGCCCTCCACAACTAAAATTGAAGGACAACAACTTAGCTGTTCCCCTCCTCCAATTCCCCAACACTGTTCCCCTTCCCCAATTCCCCAATTCCCCAATAAAATCTTAAAAAATAAATAAATAAATAAATAAATAAATAAAACTTTTTAAGATGACTGAAGAAGCTACAAAATGGACTAGATATTAGACAATTATGATACTATGATTTATAATAAGAAATACATATTTTGGTCTTTGTCCAATTCCTGACACAGAACTCCTAAAAACCTTGGAATTTCCTAAGTGATGGGTGATATAGGTTTCTTTTGTTACTCATTACAAGCTCTTTTCAACCATACCTGAGTTTATGTTAATGATGTGATTTTTGGAAAGCCCCAAGATAACCACATGATGGGGACTGATTGCCAGGGAATCCAATTATGTGATTAGAGGGGTGGAACTTTCAATTCTAGCCCCCCAACCTGGAGGGAGGGAGAGGAGCTGGAGGCTGAATTAATCCCTAGTGGCCAATAATTTAATCAATCATGACTCCATACTGAAGCCTGCACGAAAATGCCGAAAGTACGGGGTTTAGAGAGCTTCCAGGTTGGTGATCACGTGGAGGTGCTGGGAGGGTGGCGTGCCTGGAGAGGGCGCCCCGTCCCACGTACTGTGCCCTCGGCATCTCCTCCATGCAGCCTTTGTAATAAACTTGTGTCATATAGGTAAACTGTCTTCCTGAGTTCTGTGAGCTGCTCTAGCAAATGATCAAACTCGAGGAGGGGGTCGTGGGAACCTCCAGTTTACAGCCAGTTCGTCAGAAGCACAGATAACAACCTAGGCTTGCTATTGGCCCCTGAGGTGGGAAGGGAGGCAGTCTTATGGGACCGGGTCCTTAGCCTGTGAGAGCTGATGCTAACTCCAGGTAGACAGCACCAGAATGTAATTAAATTGTAGGGCACTTAGTGTGTGCAGAGGACTGGTGAGTTGCTTGGTGGGGTAAAAAAGCCCACACATCTGGAGTACAGGTGTATTCCATGACAGAAGACATGGTTTTTCCTAGAGAGCAATGTTACCGAATTACAATTGATTTTCACAGATAATGGTATTGAGCTTATGTAGGACAATGTCCTATTCTTAAGAGATGTAAGTTGAAGATTTGAGGGGTTAAAAAGTGTTATCGTGTCTGCTATATCCTTTATAATTCATTAAAAATACACACACACACACACACACACACACACACACACACACACGGGAATAAAACAAATGTGGTAAAATATAAACAATTGTTGACTCCAAGTGAAGGTCATAAAAGTTTTCAATGTGGTATTCTTTCAACTCTGTATAGTTTAAATTAAATTTTATAAAAGGTTAGGAAAATAAAAAATATGGCTGTATTCAATTAATAAGATATAGATCCCCACCCACAGATATATCACTGATCTTAAAATACTATCTGTGGAATTCATTGTTTCCTTCAGATATAACTTAGGCAACATTTAAACAGCTTTGTGGATTCTGTTTCATGAAGAGAAGTGACCTCTATTTAAAATAAAACAACACACAACATCGTGGTCAGGATGAGAGGGGCAGGTTTTCTGGGGAAGAGTCAAGGATTCCCCAATAGCGACTGTAAAGTTCAATCTGCAACCCTGAAAGTCACAGATTTTCGGAGAAGCGGTATTCACGCAGAGTGACTTTCCAGGGCCTCCTGGGGAGGTTACCTCATCTGGCTGAGGGAGGACAATGACTGACATTGTTCCCGTGTGAATCCGCTGCATCCTGGACGACAGGCCCACCTCAGGAATCCGCTGGACTCGGTGAATCCCACCTTCATACTTCAAATGCTTATAGACGCTGTCACCAGAAATTCGGGCAGCTGCATGATGTAGCCCTCCTAGGCGAAAAAAAAATCCAGAAATATGAATGAATTCCATTTTGAAAGGAATCAAGATCTTAAACCCCCTTAATCTAAGGCCTGAATGTGAGTACAGAGCCAAAGATGAGAACATAAAGTAGGTACAAAACTGTATTTTCCCAGTGTAAATGTGTTAGTATATAAAAGGAAACATACCAAAATATTATTTATAGTTATCTCTGGGGAATAGAGTAACAGATTTAAAATGTTTTCCTTTTTATACTTTTGTTCCTAAATTTTCTATAATGAACAAGTTTTACTTTTATAAAAATACTATTAGAAAAAAAGAATACTGGGATGTTTTCTACATTGAACTATGGTATGCAACCTTAGGCTAACATGACGCCATATATCAAAGAAGGTTCACTAACATAATTTGATGATGAATAACTATAAATCCTCCCAAGTTTTCAAGAATTTATTGAAATTTAGCTCTTGCTTCTCTGTGGAATGGGAAGATTATCATGAAAACATCTTAATGCCTAGGCTAGCTTCTTCTTTTGGAATTGTTTCAAAAAGTATTTTTATTATACAGTAATATAAACATAAAAAAACTCACATGAATCAAATGTACGGTTTAATGACCACAAGAGCGGTAAGAACTTTGTCAGTCACCACAAAAGCCCTCCCATGGCCCCTTTTCAGTTGCAATCCCCTCCCTTTCCCATGAGTAACCATCATCCTTTTATTCCTTTATTATAATTTCATTGCCTCAGTATGCTATCCTAGGCACTACAGTTCAGTCTTGTGCATTTAAAGAAGTTTGATATGTCTTTTACATCACTTAATGTATAGGTTCATCACCCATCTCTTTCGTTTCCTACAAATCACCTGTTAAGGAACCTGGGCAGAATTTCCCAGTCTGGTTCTGCCAATTGCACACTCTTGGCACAGTTCAACCTGTTCTGCTGCCCTCCACATTGGCTGCAATTTGGCAGCTGGATCCGGACACCAGCTTGAGCTCCCTGGCAAGACTACAGGAGACACATAATGTCTGGTTGTCTTTCTGTGGTCCCGACAGCCTTTGATGCTTAATGAATCTCAGGGTCGTAAAATGGTCACAGTCTAATTCTGTCATTTCTTTCTCACTTTAAATTAGTTCAAATACATTTACAGAGAGAGACATTTCCCCTTGTCTACTATTTGATTATCCAGTGATACAGTTATATAGGAAAGGCAGGATAAATGCTTGGTTCTGTTCCTTTACCAGTTTTACCAATTCATCAATTTTTTTTTTTTTGCAATACAATGAATTAGGGTCCTTTTAATTCTGATGATCAGTTATTTTTAAAAATATCATTTTGAACTCCAGAATTACGAACACATCTAGCATACTTAAATCAATTTCAATTACTATTATTGAAGCTTGACTTGGCCCATCGTTGGCCAGCAGGAGCCTCTTCACGTGAACTTCTGAGTTTCTTTGACAAGCTTTTTGTTATGGTGTAACAAGTGGTTCAGGGGTTACCTTGACCACTTCTTGCCCCAGGCCTGGAATCAGCCCTCGCTCCAAGAAGCCTGGTTCCTTTCAGAGACTAGTATTTTAAGACCACACTTTGGGGCTAGGGATGCTCACTGCTGCTGGGTTGGGAACTGTTTCTAGACCTTTGGGGCTAGGGATGCTCACTGCTGCTGGGTTGGGAACTCAGCGGACAGAGATAGGAAATGTCTCATGAGTTCACAGTGATGTTGGGAGACATTTCTCTGTGGGTCTCTTGTGTTTCTGCACATCTTGCAAAACCACTTTTATTCCAGAATCTTTTTCAGGGTGTTTGTATGGTGAACAGCTTTAGAGATCATGTTTCCCTCCACAGCAAAGGGCAAACTTGCTCACGGCCGTGGAAGAGAAAGCTAGTGACTCCTTCTAGAGCAATGGACAGGCATGTTCACTGCCCACCCAAAAAGACTCGAGATCCCTCAGCTCCAGGTTCCTCTTCTGTAAGGAAACCCACTGCACGGGTGCTTTTAAAATGATTCCCACACTCCCTTTACTTCACGTTGAATGCAAATACTTGAATTTATATGAGGCGAAAAGAAGAAGGCTACAACTTTACCGTATAGACTAACAGAGCCAATCTCAGCCTGCCTGGGTTCAAATTCAAGCTCCTCCTCTTCCTAGCTGTATGTCCACAGGCAAGTTACTTAACCTGTCCGTACTTTTGTTTTCTTATTTGTAAATGATAATATAAGAGGTCTCACAATTAAGTTCGTGAACTTGTTGCAACATTGCTAAACTTTTTTGATATCAGAGAGATTATTCATTATGAATTTGTACCAACTGGACAAACAGTTAACCAAGTTTACTATTTGCAAGTGTTGAAAAGGCTGCGTAAAAAAGTTAGACAAAAACGACCTGAACTTTTCACCAACAATTCGTGGCTCTTGCATCATGACAATGCACCAGCTCACACGGCACTGTCTGCGAGGGAGTTTTTAGCCAGTGAACAAATAACTGTATTGGAACACCCTCCCTACTCCCCTGATCTGGCCCCCAATGACTTCTTTCTTTACCCAAAGATAAAGGAAATATTGAAAGGAAGACATTTTGATGACATTCAGGACATCAAGTGTAATACAATGACAGCTCTGATGGCCATTTCAGAAAAAGGGTTCCTACATTGCTTTGAAGAGTGGACTAGGTGCTAGCATCGGTGCATAGCTTCTCAAGGGGAGTACTCAAAGATGACCGTAGTGATATTCAGCAATGAGGTATGTAGCACTTTTTCTAGGATGAGTTCGTGAACCTAATTGTCCGATTTCATACAACCTGGGCTACGGCACTGCCCACCTGAAGGGGGAGCCACTCATATTGCAGATTATGTGAGTAGTGTCTCACGGCATAGGTAAGCATGCGACACGGCCCGGAATTCACCCTACGCTCCAAGGGTTGTTGTGAGGATTACCTGACGTAATTACTCACAGAGCATTTAGCAGTGTCAACGACATAGCCATCAAGCAGTATCATTAGTAACTGTGGCTACACCATCGGCTCTCCTGGACCAGTATGGTATCTTGTGGAAGGGAAAGGTGGTCAAGCTCCCTCCAAACTTCCTTACGATGTAGGGCTGGGGAGTGCATATACCTGAGATGGGGCATTAAAGGAGTATAGGTGGCCTTGCTAGCTGGAAGCAAACGGCTTCTGGAGGTCCTTACTGACAGGTATGGAGAAAAAAGCATTTGCCAGATCAATAGTTACATACCAGATACCAGGGGGTGTGAACTTGCTCAAGCAACAAATCCACACCTAGTAGAGCAGCTGCACTTGGAGTCACCAACTGATTAAGTTTACAATTATCCACTGTCATTATCTAAGGTCCATGTGCTTTCTGCATGGGCCTAAAAGGCAAGTTGAATGGACATGTGGTGGGAATCGCCCCCCACCCCCCACATCTTTCAAGTCCTTGATGGTGGCACTGGTCTCAGCAATCCCCCAGGAATGCAGTATTGCTTTTGGCTTACTGTTTTTTCCCAGGTAGAGGCAAATCTGGTGGCTTCCACTTAGCCTTTCCCACCATAAGCTCTCACTCCACAGGTAAAAGGAACCAATGTGAGGAGTACGCTAGCTGCCGAATACATGAGTATCTGCTCTAATTACGCATCCCAGAACTGGGGTCACAGCCTCATGCTGGGCGCAGGGGTCCACTGTGAGATGGACCTAAGCTAAAACCCCATTGGCATCTGACCTCCATAAGCCCCTCCTCTGACTGATGGACCACAGTGATACGCTGAGTCTCCTGGAATTCCTGTCAGTTCAGAGCCAGTATCCAGCAGTTCCCGAAACATCTAATTATTTCCTTTTCCCTAAGGCACAGTAACCCAGGCAAAAAAAACATAGGTCCCTTTGGGGAAGTCTGGAAGAAAGACTACAGTATAAATTTCTGGCAGTGTACCGGGTTCCTCAAGGGAACCCAGCGTTCTGTTCATCCACGTGGTTTGTGAAAACTGGCTCAAGTCTGGGGATGAATTGAGGGGCCATGACTTCAGTTTCAATGATACAGGTTAGACTTTTGTTCATTTGATCTAGAACTACTTATATAAATCAAGCTAGAATTTAGTAGCCTCCCATTCTATTTTACTTGTAGGGACACCATGGTCAACTAGCCAGTGTAAGTCTGCACAAGTCAGGCTAGTCAGTTGCTGCTTTGAGTCTGCTGGCCACTATGGTAACCACGCCCATCTGCCCCTTGGGTAACTGAGTGCCACCCCCTGGCGCCTGCCACCCTAAATTCCAATGGCTCCCATGCATTTAGGTTTCCCCATTCAGCCACCAGAGTTCGCACTGTTTCGACCTATAGGTAAGAGCGATCATAAAGTTCTTCAAGGGCGCCAGGACTCCCCTCAGCGGTTTCTTTCTCACAGTTGTGGTGAAAAGTGTATCTTCTGAATACATAAAGTTAACCATCAGATTACTTTAAGTGACCTCTCCCTGAATTCAACTGGTGAGCAGACAACAAAATAATTATAAGTATTAATCTGTTGGGAGGGAGAAGATAATGTAATGCATGTCATAACTTGGAAAGTATTTCAATTCATTAGATGCCAGGTATACAGAATAATACAGTGACGAGGCCATCACCCTCCACTGCTTGCACAAAGACTGGTCATCATTTAGTCTGGGCTATTTAGGTAACGGTTCAGTACTGTCCCTACCTGTACCTATAGTCACAAAACTACAAAACTTTAAGTCATTTGACAAATGAATTTTTGCATGAAAGTGTTTCTTTTCACACAGCTTTTAGTGCTGTGTAAATCTCTGTGGAATTCCTCTCTATGTCAATTAAATATTAGATTTATATGTATATCAATTTACATACATATATACATGCACATGTATGTAATTTAATATACATATTTTAAAGGCAGGTGCTTTTTTCCCTTTCTCTATTTTAGTTTTTTCTATGCACGTCTTTTTCTTCTCCTAATTACATTAAATAAGTCAATTTTTAAAAATTATTTCATAATTTCAACGAATAGGGGTTTATTCTTAGTCTTTAATTTTAAAAGTATATGAGTGAAATATTTAAAACTTTCCTTCTTAAACAAATGTCTCTTCCCTTTTTCATATGTCTGTATCTTGCCAGTGAGTCAGTGTATGTAAAGGAAAGGTCTCCCAACCAGTGTCCAGGCTGTCCTGCGCGCCCGAAACAGAATCTCCCTTCCTGCTCGTTAAGTCATCTCCCCTTCATTCTTGAACGTTAGATTCAAAATACACACCTAGAGGCCACTGATGCATTTCCCACTATTCTCGCTGACGATGCTGTGTTTCTGATCGTGTTCCCCTTAACACTCTCCCCTCTCTTCTTCCACAACGTCACACCGTCCTTGTCGTTTTTCTGCTTCTCTGACTCCTTTTTCTTTTGCCAGCTAGTGTATCTTTCTAAACATGGCCGTTCTCCAAGGCTGGGTGCCCTGGACGTTCCCCTTCTGCGGACTCCTGCTCACTTATTCTCTCCGTGTCAGTCATTATCTCTGTGCTAACAGCTATCAGGTATCTTTCTTCAATTCTGTTCTCTCACATAAGCTCTGGTTACACAATTTCATCATTTACTGGGTATTTCTAAATGGATGCTCAGTATAACCACAAACTTAATAATTCAAAAACCACTTATCATTATTCTTCTTAAATGGGTCCTGCTTTCCAACTTCTATTCAGCGATATGAATGAATATGGCAGTCTTGCCGGCTAGAAAGATTAGACTCCCTGTGGTTCATCTCCTTTGTGTCAGAATAGACTAATGGGATGTGGGGTTGGCTCTGAATCAGACACACTTAAATTGGATCCCAGGATTGCCATTACTTATTGTGAGATCTTGGATTAGGTACTCTCTGAGCTTAGATCATCATCTGTAAAATGGGATTAATAGTACCCATCTCACAGGACCAAACAACCTACACTGCACACAAGACATTCTGGGCGAGCAACAGCCCCTCTTGTATCCAGTCAGTTACCAAATTTTGCCCATGCTTCTCTGTAGGTCTCCTGCATGTCTCCCTACTCCAAATGCTAACTCTTAGTTATACCTGGATTCCTCTAATAACCGCTCTGCAGTCTGCCTGAAACCTCACCTCTTCAATCCATTCTTTATATTGTGTCAAAATAATCTTCTTAAAACATGTATTTACCAAATAATATTCTTGATAATAAAAATCTTCAACAACTCCCGATTCCCTAACAACCGGGGCCTGTTCCGCTTTCAAGGCTGTTCAAACTCTACCCTCTCAAACCTATTTCCTGTTACTTCCTGGGACAAATGTGCTCTAGGTCAACTGGCTTCCTCCTTGACCCGCGCACACCAGGACCCTTCCCACCACCACGCAGCTGCTCAGGTGGCTCCTTTCTGACCCCACTGGCTGTATTTCAAATCTGTACCAAGCGCACCTTCCCTCTGCCAGATACTGGTTTTCCTTTCCCTAGATTGTTAACATACGTGAATCCTGTTTCCCAACTTTGGCAGCTTGTGGTGTATTACTCATGACCCCTCTGCCTACTACAGTGTATCGCTGTGTAACCAAGCAGACAGTTACTTCCAGATGGATTAAAAGAGTGGGAAGAAAAATTCACTATGAGATGTTCTGATTTAACATACTTGCAAGTTTAAGGACTTGCATTATTTGTTCTTGTTCACGTTGTGTAAGTTTTTATCAGCCCAACTAGAGTGGAAGCTTTCTGAAAATAAAGACAAATGATGAGTTTTTACTGCATTCCCATAAAAATATAACACATTGTTAGCTACTTAGTCTAACTGATAAAACTTCCAATGATCTATCACATAAGTGATAAAGTTCTTTAGAGTAAAGACGTTAATATATCTTCGCTTTGAACAACAGAGCAATGATTTTCAAGGTAAAATATACTCGTATACCTATCTAAATTTTCTCTCATTCAGATATTCCTGCCTAGTGCCTAGGAGGGTACCTCCCCTTCCCCTTCTCTTCCCCCAGTTAAGAACTCTACTAGAGTAAGCCACTGTGATTGATGAGTCTATGACACAGTATTTAGTAGATCAAATGTTTCAAATATAAGACATGGTTCTAATCAAGTTCAGAGGAAAAATAATTTTCAGCATCATCTATGGACAAAATCCTCAAATATGCCTACCATAATCAGCTGGTGTGTAATTCAGAAGTTCAAACTTCCAGTGTTTATAGCTTGAATAATTCTGGTACATGTCAAATATTTCCCGGGTAAACTGTTGGCAGATATCACCTAAAAGAAAATAAAAACATTTTCAGTCAGCACAAATTATGAAATGAGGAATCACAACTTCACAAGTGAAACACATTTTGCAGACTTCTAAAGCTACGGTGTGTCACATCAAAGTCAAATTTAGATGCTTTTTCGATTATTTACAATAAAATCATTCCACTGACCTCCAGTGGTTCTTCCAGATGTCACCTCTAAAATAACATCATTTTTGTCATATTTCTCTTTCGGCACTAGACTCTGGAAAAGCTAAACAAGTGAAAAAATGTAAGCATTAGTGTGTATATGTTCCATGGTATATGTACCATTATAACTTGAACTTAGATAAAAGAACCCAAACTTAAAAAAAAAAAAAATCAGTAATTAACAAAATCATATAGCATCCCAATGAGGTCTAGTCCAAAAATGCTTTAATAAGTAGATCTAATTAGACCTAAAATAAGTCATCAATTCATGCTAACAATGAAGTTACTTGTCAGGGTATTCTCTACAATACTATCAGATTATCTTCATTTTCTAAAATGCAGAAGTTTAGATCAAAGTTCAGAGTGTTCCATTCAATTTTCTTTAGATTTTGCCTCTTATTAGTTCTGAACAGTGGTTTCTTTCATCTAATGAATGAAGTAAAGCTTTGAAAGTCTTCAAGAAAATGAGGACTTTTACATATGATTGCGTGTTCTCTCCTGCCACAGAGGACGGCGGACCTCAGGCTGTGCCCCGTGTACCCAACTTCTCAGTGGCGTCACTCTGTTTAAAGAGCATGTTGAGAACACCCCAGATAAGGCTCAGATAGTTTCTTAGCTGTGACAAGAAAACAAAGGTGGGGGGGGGGGCTTCCTAAAAAAGAAACCAACTTTTCTCTTAGGGAGGAGAGGGAAGCAATTTTATTTTCATTATTACTGAAAAAGCTTTCAAGTCAAACTACAAGTACCGATGTGTCATGATTCCCCATACTGTCAATTTCTGAAATACTCCATCTCCGCTAGAAATGACAGTCTGCGGGAGAGTACATTAGACTAAAAGCCAGACATCTTACTTCTGCCCTTGATTAGCTGGTTAAATCAGTGACAAAAATAACGGAGACCTCCACCTTGTCCCCCTCAACTCTCAGCAAGCCCCTCTACTGGATTCCCAGAGTAGGGAAGACTGAAGGCAGGGTGGCAAATGTGACAGAGGGGCACGTGGTGTGCAGTAGTGTGATTTTCATTGTCTTGTCGACAAATTATCACTAAGCTGGAGGAAGCTAAAGACTTGTGTTAACCAACTGTCACACAACCTTGGATTCGATCCATCCTACCCAGCATGCAAATTTTCAATCCTCAATTAACACAGTCACCATAAACCAGTCAGTCCCTCTTTCTAAGACTTAAAACCCCTCATCCCCATCTTAGTGAACTAAATTTCTGTATCAGCATGTGTTTCCTTCACTGGCAAGTTAATAATTCGAGTTTAGAATATTGTTGCTGGGAAGTGGGGGGTGTTTTACTTTTTTATATCACAATCTCTTCAATCTCACTCTGTAGCCAATTATAGCACTAGACTCAGTATAATCACTTATCAGAAAATAAGAGAAGACTTAAGAAACTGGTGTTTGGAAAGTACTCTGAGCACCAACGAATAGTTTAGCAAGACCAGGATTCCTTTATATTCACTTGATTGAGATTAGTTTACCTCCTAAAACATACCTCACTGTATAACATATTGATTTTTTGAGCAATGGTTTGCCTCTCTTCCAATGCAAGTTCTTGTAACTGCTTTTCATCTTGTTTATTCAGACCTACAAACCAGCAACAGTAATAAGGTAAAAGTTTTTAAATACTTACAGCGAAACTCTTACATACGTAGCTACCTAATCTCTGCCTACTAAATTTTATTTCAGTTGTGAAGGCAAGGGATTATAAAAAGAACAGAAGAGTTAGAGAACGTCAATTAACAAGTATTTGTTAAGTATGTTAAAAAAAATCCAGTGTGAAAAGAGCCCCAAAGAGCTTGTGATTTCAGTGTCTACAAGTAATTATAGAAATCAGCGATCAATGAAATATGTTTAAAAAGGGACTCGCTAATTAAATATAAATCCAGATAAGGAAAGTTTCAGAGTAAACTGGGGTGGCCACTTCTCGTCTAAAAGTGGCAGCCATTATTCAGAACACTGAGTAACCTAACATGGCTAGAGCCTCCACTTTTGTAGAGTAAATTTAGCTGGTATCACTATTATTATAGAATAGCAGAATTGTAAACCTAGAAGACACTTTAGAAACAATCTAATCCAATCTAATTACACATGATACAACCTAGGCTGAATGAAGTTATGTCGATTTAACTTAGAAAGCATTCAGTTAGCTCCTACTATGAGCAAGTAACTTCCCCAAAACTAATTAACTACAAACTTGAGTGGCATTATGCAAAAGAGTAAAAAACAATCCTCATTAAACGTGGTGAGATATTTGTGGTGTTACCAATAGAAGGCAGGAATATGTAAGGCTTTGGATATCCAGGTTGTCACGGGTATAACTATGAATGGCCTTGACATTGCTTAACATCTCTAAGGCTTCATTAAGCAGAATGGAACACAGAAGAACGTTTAGAAACTAAACACCACCAACAAAATCTGGATAAATGCTGAATCCCAGGTTAGTCTATTATGCCTAGCTCTCAGCTTCTGCATATTTTGGAAAATTTTCCTAAGAGAAAAAGCGTTAAGGTAATAGCAATATTAAGAGGTACTAAAATTAAAAGTAACACCTCTCTGATCATATACAAAATTAACTCAAATAGATCAAAGGCCTAAACTACTCTTTTATAATCTTAAAAAGTATTTTTCTTTCTCCAGTCCCCCCACCGCCCCCTCCTTGTTCCTGTCCTTTCCATGTGTACAGCTTATCACTTGCAGGCTTTTTAAAAGACTAAGTTCAATAAAAGTTTCACTTAGAAAATCAATCTTGTACACACATGTCTTTTACCTACTTTTACACATTGATTCTAATTCTTCAATTGTTTGTTCCGCCTCCTGAATTTCTTGGTAAATGGTGACAAGTGGTGCCAACTCAGCATGTCTTCGATTCAAGGACCTTTGGTCCCCTTGATTCACAGAGATATGCTGCAAACACTGATCGAGTGTTTGGTACTCTTTATTCAGGTCCTCCATATACTTCTGCAGCGCTTTATGTTTCCAGAGCATGCTGGTGTCTTGATGACAGTACCTCCTGGACCAATTCTTATTTAACAGATGATGGAGAATACGATTCCTGTTTCTTCTAAAAACCAACAGACTTGTATCAAGATGTGTCTGTGTGCATTGATAAGAAAAGCGGCGAGTGTGGCACTGGTGGTGACCATGAAGAGGTGGATGTCTAAAAAGCCAAACACAGAGGTGACGACTCATCTCAGCATCTGAAATATAATAAACACAATCTGAAAAAAAAAGCCAACTCTACACATATAATAAAGCTGGACGGAACCTCAAGAAATCTTGCTAAGTTCACTGCCTCAGCCAGCTCTAAACACAGTCCCCAAATTTCATAATCCACAAAAAGAAAACAATTTTTCAAACCTCTGAAAAGAACATATTAAAATAAAGACAGCACTGTTTTCTACCCACTTAACATATATAATTAACTACGGCAAATGAATAGAAGTGTAACCAATAAATATATCAATAGAATGGGTTAAATCAGCTATTTTCTAGAAAGTATCCAGAATCTAGAATTGAGTATGTGAACAAGCACATGAAAGGTATAAAAGAATCACGCAAACTTTAGGTGGTTCACATACTCATAGACTTCAACAGTTTGAAGGAAATAGTAACAATTTTCTTGTCTAATTCTTTAATTTTAGGTTAGGTTAAATTGGCTGTGTACTATGATTACTTGTTCTCCCCTGTAACAGAGATAATCAAGAGCTAACAAAAGTACACAATGGTTTTATTAAGAAAGGGAAAAGATAAAGCGGTCTAAGAAAAACACTTGGCGGGCTGGCTGAGTGGCTCAGTTGGTTAAGAGGTCGCTCAAGAGTGCAAGCTCTGAGCAAAAGGGTTGCTGATTCGATTCCCGGCCCAAGCTGAGCTGCTGCTGAGCTGCCAATAGGTGGCAGGATGGCTCAGCTAAAGAAAAAGAAAAAAAGGAAAAAGAAAAACACTTTGCCCTTAAAATCCTGAGGTTCAAAGTTGAAATAAGGGTCAAAATTTATCAAAATAAACATTTACTGTCTCTGGTGTTCCTACTATGCTAAGAGATATATTCATATACCAGCTCATTTGATAATTAGAAGTCTACTAACTTATACATCATAATCTCTTAGGAAACAAAATATTCAGATTAGTCTCTAAAATATTCAGTTTGCAGGGTTGTACTAATAAATTTTAATATACTGAATCACATTGGGAAAAGGGCTGTGGAAGAATACACCAATGCCCAGTAACCACAAATGCTACAGTCCTCCAGCAGAAGCTTCTGTGTGTCTTTACATCTAAGCTCAAGCACAACAGAGATGTGTCCAACTGAAAACAGACAGAAAAGGATGGCAAACATTTTCGTTAGAATGCTTCTAGCTAAAATTTCCATCTTAGAAGCAGTAGTAGAATGAGTAACTCTCAAGGTCATGAACCTCAATGTTAAGGTGGGGGAAAACCCAAGACGGGGCTGGCCAATTGGCAAGTTGGTTAAGAGCCGGCTTGGGACACCAGCTCTGAACAGCAGGGCCCCTGGTTTGGATCCCACATTGAGGGCCAGTGCCGCTGTGCCCTCTACAGCTAAGATGGTGAACAACAGCTCGACCTGGAGCTGGGCTGCCATGAGTCGACAGGGCAAGCAAAGGCTACAGTGACGCTGCAGTGGGCTGCCATGAGCTACCGGCAGTGGCTGGCAGCCGGGGTGAGCTGCTGTCCAATGGCCTGCCAGCGACTGCCTCACCCAGGAAGAGCGCACTGATAATACCAACATGGGCCAGTGAAGCGACTTCCTCTACAACTAGACTGAAGAACAAAAGGACAGCACCTTATCTGTCCGCCCCTCCCCCAATTCCCCAATAAAAATCTTAAAAAAAAAAACCAAGACGTTTACTCTCTAGGATTATCTATGCCTGAGAGCGGCACGTCTTCTCCCTCACCCATCACGGTAACAGGATTACTCTGATCCTCTAGGAACAATTCTCAGCGCCAGCATGTCAAAAGTGACACTAAACCCTGGCGAGAGCAGCACATGTAAGCCATACTGTGTAACTCAGTATGTGGAGTGATCCCATAAGGCGGGAACATGGGGGGAAAACTGGAGAAAGAGAAACGACTTTTTAAAATTATAAAGGAGAAACGAATTATGAGTACCTAAAATGAAGAAGAAAGGACGTTAGCTTCCCTTACTGAGGTCGGAACCTTCCCGTAACCCGCTACATTTCATCCCGACAGACACGGAATCATTTTAACTTCCTGGGTCACTTCTTCCGGGTTAATACTTGATTGGCAGTTCCACCTCCGTTTGACACCTCCAGAGGAGTAGTCCTTGGGCATGAGTAACAGAGGAAGCAAAAGAGAAAAATGACAGCGAGAAAGAAAAAAAAAATGATAAGGAGAGAAAACTTCCCATGAGACAATCAAGCAGCGTACTTATCTCCAGCCGGGGCCCGGTGCTTGGGTTGCGATGAGAAGAGCGTCGGGGCTGGGGAGGCGGGGGCGCGAGACGGCGGGCCGGGAGTGTTGTATGAACTACAACTCCCAGGAGCTCCCCGCCCGGGAATCCTGGGAGTTGTAGTTTATCTCCGGACAGGCACAACCCCGCTCTCCCCACCCAGGCAAAGGTGGGGCTTTGGTTTTCACATTTTCAGCCCAAATCTGGAGAGAGATTCTCTACAATTCCGATTAAGAGATCAAGATTTATAATATGTTAATATACAGTTACGAGAATATCCTTATATGTGGAGCCACTTATACAGTGATTCCTTAATTTTTTTTATGAGGACCTCCTTTTCATCATTCAAAAATTTAGGGTATTTCTGCATGTTAATAGCTATACTTTCAGCTTTCATTGCCTAAGAAAATATCAAATAACTAAATGAGACTATAAATTTGTATTTTTAAAAGACATAATGGGATCCAAACGATAGACTATCTACAAATTAGTGATTTTATAAGATGTTGCACGCACATAACAGAATTTAATGGCTCAACTTGGTTCATAGCTTGTAAACTAATGATTAAACACAGAATGAAAACATCCAAATAATAAATGATTCCAGGGAAATGCAAGCATATTGCCTTACTTGGAATATTCCAGTGGGATACAGCCCCTAGCGATCACATTTATAAGTTATTTGATCTCTATGCCTCAATATTTTTTCCCGAAAAGCAAAGGCAAAAATAATTCCATATACCAACTTCAAAGGATATTTTCTTAGGTTATGATCATATATGTAAAAAGGAGAATTAGTCATAAATGTAAATATCTAACATTACCTACTTCAAAGTACTGCTACATACTACATATTAGATACTATTCTACATGGTTTAAACCTGTAAATTAATTTAATCTTTACAACAACTCTAGAATACCCATTTTGCAGAAGAGAAAACTAAAGCACAGAGCTTTAGTAACTTGTTCAAGGTAAAAGAACTTCTAAGTGATAGAGCCAAGATTCAATCAAGGCAACCTATCTCAACGATCTGTGGCTCCTACAATCTGATAATGCCTCCCTCCTCAAAAAAAAAAAAAGAAAAAAGAAAACATTCAATCATTCATTCAGTAAATATTGAGCACTAGTTATATGCTCTTCACTGTTCTAGATTTGAGAATTTAGCAATGAATAGAAGAGACAAAAATCTTTGCTCACGTGGAGCTCATATTCCAGCAGGAAACTAATTCCAAAGGACCATACAAGCCATTCTCCTAAATTACCCAAAAAACCGTTTATTTCTTTATTTTGATTTTTGTGTGTAGATATATCAATTAGGTATTGTATATATAAAGCTTTATTCTCCTTAAAAAATAAGACTTACTGCTATGAACTGAATTGTGTCCGGCCCCCCTGACCCCCAAATTCAATATGTTGAAGCTACCCCTCAATGTGACTGCCCTGGAGATAGGGCCTTTAAGGAGGTGATGAAGGTTAAATGAGGTCATAAAGGTGGAACCTTGATCTGATAGGATAGTGCCCTTAAAAGAAGAGACACCAAAGAGCTTTTTAGGCCTCTCCCTTTCCCCCTAGTCCCTCCTCAAGCACAAACAGGTCAGGAGAGCACACAGTAAGATGGCAGCCACGTACAAGCCAAGAGAAGAGGGTTCAGAATGAAACATAGCTTGCTAACACCTCGATCTTGTACTTTACAGACTCCAAAACTGCGAGAAATGAATTTCTGTTGTTTAAGCCACTCAGTCTGTGGTATTTTGTTATGGAAGTCCAAGCAGATTAAGACACTTTCATATGTAAAAATTTATTGAGATATACATGAAACTTTGTGCACTTTATGTATATTATTCCTCAATTAAAAAACAAAACAAAAAACCCAAAGGACATTTACACTTGGTACTATAAATACTGCTGCTTCCTCCATGTTTTTTGTTTGTTTGTTTTTAAAGATTTTATTGGGGAATTGGGGGAAGAGGAACGGTGTTGGGGAATTGGGCAAGGGGAACAGCTTTGTTGTTGTCCTTCAATCTTAGTTGTGGATGGGCATAGCCCACCATCCCATGCGGGAGTCAAACCGGCATCCTTGTTGTTAGGAGCACATGCTCTTACCAGCTGAGCCATCCTGCCACATTGTTGGCAGCTCAGCGGCAGCTCAGCTTGGGTGCAGCTCAGTGGCCCATGTGGGACTTGAACCAGCGACCCTGTTGCTCAGAGCTTGCGCTCTTAACCAACTGAGCCACTCAGCTGGCCCAAGATCGCTTGTCTTATATGAATATATATTCGTACTGGTTCTTAAATGTTTCTTAGCTTGAAAACCTGCTATGAAATGCGCCACCTGCTGACATTATTGAAACTACATTCCTCAAATCATTTTCAGTCAGAGATGTTTGAGGCCCTGAAAGGTCAACCTACTATCTCCCTTTTACTCTTAAAGAAAAAAAAAAAAAAAAGCTAAGACAGTTTATAGACTAACTAATTCTGGCAATTACATTTTACTCCCCTATACTAGTATTAGCCTAAGTTAAAGTCAACTTTGTTAACAAGGCCATTTAATGCTATCTCTTACAACTTCATCTCTCCATCTATCATCCTAAATTTCTCTTCCACCTATCATCCTAAATATTTTTTTTAAATCATTTGCTTTGGTTTTAAATTGTACATTTTCAAATCTCCATCTTGATAAATTTTATTTTCTCATCTTTTTCTCTTTCAAATAGGCTTTATGAATAGTTTTCAAATACTCTTTATAAGCATTATAGTGTTTTTCAACTTAAATTCAAAGTGGTCTACATTCTGTGTGTGTGTGTGTGTGTGTGTAGATATACATATCTTTAATTTTTTCCTCTTTATTTTATTTTATTTTTTAAATTTATTTTTTATTTATTTTATTTTATTGGGGAACTGGGGGAGGGAACAGTGTTGGGGAATTGGGGGAAGGGGAACAGACAAGTTGCTGTCCTTTTGTTCTTCAGTCTAGTTGTGGAGGACGTCGCTTCACTGGCCCATGTTGGTATCGTGATCATTGCGCTCCTCCAGGGGGAGAAGCAGTTGCTCACTGGCCATTGGACAGCTGCTCACGGCGGCTCACCCCAGCTGCCGGCCACTCACACAGCCCAGCTCCAGGTTGAGCTGTTGTTCACCATCTTAGCTGTAGAGGGCACAGCGTCACTGGCCCATGTGGGATCCGAACTGGGTCCCTGCTGCTCAGAGCCCGTGCTCCCAAGCCAACTCTTAACTGACAAGCCACTTGGCCAGCCCTTTTCCTGTTTTTATTATGAAAATTTTCAAATGTTCAAAAATACAACAGTATAATGAATCCTCATGGACCCATCATGGATTCTCAACAGTTATTAATTCAGTGGTTCCTCCTCCTTCCCCCTATTCCTTATCCTCTCTGTATTATTTTGAAGCAAATATGAAACATCATTTTCTCATCTGTAAATATTTTAGTATGTAGCTCCAGAAGTGAAGACTTAAAAAATATGTAATTACCTTAAAAATTAAAAAATGCTTAATATTATCAAATATCTAGTCAGTGTTCAAATTTTCCTGACTGTGTCACATTTTGTTCTTCTTTTTCTCTTTTTAGACAGGTTGCTTGTCCATATCAGGGTTCAGATAAGGTCCATACATTGCAATTTATGGCTCTAGTTTTGGCTTGTTTTCATCTACAGGTTCACCCCTCTTTTTGTTTTTTTCTTTGCAGTATGTTTGTTGAAGAAACTGGATCTTTTGCCTGGAGGAGTTTCACACTGTCTAGATTGCTGTAGACTTGTGTTTATCCTGCTCCTTTCCCCCTCTATATTTCCTATAAACAGGTCTAGAAGCTTGATCAGACTCAGGTTTACATTTTTTTTGGCAAAACTATTTCATAGATGAGTTAGCTACTTCCAATGGAAGGTGCAAAATATTTAGTCGTGTCTTTTAAAAATTATGCTAGAAGCTCACAAGTGCCTCAATCCGTTATTTCATTAGCGGTTTCAAAATGGTGCTATTTTATCATTTTATCATTCTATCTTCATTTATTAGCTGGAACCACTATAAAGAGAAACTTTCCCTCATCAATGGTTTGTTGCCCTTGCTTTGAAATTTTTAAAAGGAAAAAATTAAGATTTTGAAAAAGAGGAGAGGCAATCAAAATCAAAAGCTTGTTTTCTGAACGATTTCCAGAATTTCCAAATTCTACTTCAATCTCATTTTTTTTGTTTTATTTTTAGATTTTTACGTTAAGATATAGCTAATATGCAGTATTATGTTAGTTTCAGGTTTACACCATAGTTATTCAACATTTCTATACCTAAAGAAGTGATCACTGTAAGTTCAGCAACCATCTGACACTGTATCACACTATCCCAATATTATTGACTATAGTCCTTATGCTGTACATTCTCTTTTTTCTTTTAACTTTAATAATACAATTCTCTGAAATTTCCAAATCCAAAAAGTTCTTAAAAACCTTATTTTTCAATTAAAAAAAAATCTTTGAAAACCGAAGGTGTTTTCAGTAACTTATTTGAGGGCAAAATTGCCCCAACACAAACCAATTTGGCAGACACATCTGACTGGGTCTATGCTGTTGGCTTTGAAATTGGAGGAAATGGCCATGAGCCCAGGAATGTAGGCAGCCTTGAGAAGCTGGAAAAGGCAAGGAAATGAATTCCATTTTAGATCCTCTAAAAGGAACATGGGTCCTGTAGACACATTTCAGACTTCTTACCTCCAGAGCTGTAAGATAACAAATGTGTGTTGCTTTAAGCCACCAAGTTTGTGGCATTTGTTACAGTAGCAATAGGAAATTGATACAGATTCCCTTGGCAGCTATGCAGAAAATGAGTTGAAGGGAGCTCCCCAAGGGTGCATGGAAGGTAATCAGTTATG